GCTTCAGTTCCTCGCCGTGTGCCCTCGTCCCTAGGATGGCTTGAGCGTACTCAAGACAACGTGGTTTGCTTCCCCCAGAGTGAGTGGTCCAAGGCAAGGAGAGAGAACAAGCTCATTCAAGATAGAAGCCATAGCCTTTGTATAACCTAATCTGGAAAGTGATGTCCATCACCTTGGCAGTACGCTACACAGACCCTCCTTGGTACAAAGTGAGAGGGGACCCCACAGGGTACAAATAGCAGGAAGCGGGGGTCATTAGGGGATATCTTGGAGACTGGACCCCACACCATTTTCAACTTCTGTGTTTCAGTAACGAGACTATAAAGACCCAGTTCACCTGTCCCATCTCCAGGAAGTCCCATCACAGCGACTCTAAGAAGATCTTCCACTCTTTATTTTTGTTTAGACTCTCTCCACATTCCCGATAACCAACTTCTGCAGTGTCCCAACCATGTGTCGGCTGCTTCTGCAGGAGGATCTGACCAGGTACAGCTCCTCTGTTTGGTGCTTTGAGTGATCTGGGCAGCAGTGCTGCAGGAGCGGGCAGGGATCCGGACATGATGTCCTTGTGTTCCTGCCTGAGAAAGGTACCAGTTTCAGAGCCTGAGGCACTGTGTAACCGGAGGGGAGGTCCTCAACCCCGACGCCAGGGAGAAGTGGAAGCGCCAGACGGGCCTGGAGCTATATGAAGGCTACGGCCAGTCTGAAACAGTGAGTGCTGGCGGGCGGGTCCCTGCCCCGGGTCTCTCTGTAGTCCCTCCTGCCTTTATGGCTGTCGTCTCCCTGACAGCCAGGGGAGAAGATGATAACAAAACCTCACCAGCTTTTCTTCCCTTTTGGTTTAAAGGTAATTTAAAGTAGTTTCAGAATGACACCATGACCAACAAACCAACTCTCATGGCCAAGGGTGTTGTTTGTGTCCAGCAGGACAGCCCACACCTGTCTCTGCTCAGAACCCAAGATCCTAAGGAGTGTCCTCCACAGTTAGCTGGATAGAGATGTGGAGATCCACTGAGTCTTTTGTCTCACGTTAAGTTCTTCGTGTGTCAGTGCCCATTAGAGTGCTCCATGCGTGTTTGTTGATTGTAGAAGGATGAGAAGAAAGAAAGAAAGACAAGAAGGAGGGAAGGAAGAGAGGAAGGAAAGAAAGAAGGAAGAAATGAAGGAAGGAGAAGATAAAGAAGGAAGGAAGGAGGGAGGGAAGGAGCGAAGGAAGGAAGAAAAACGAGAAAAGAAAGGAGAGGAAAAGTAAAGGAAGAAGGAGGGAAGAGGAAAAGGAAAGAAAGAAGGGAGGAAGGAAAGAAAGGAAGAGAGAAGGGAGAGAAAGAAAAGAAAGTCGAGGGAGAAGAAGAAAGAGGGAGAAGGAGTTAGAAAGCAGAGGGAGAGAAAGGCATGGCCCAGGAAAGAAGCTAAGGGAAAAGGTTCCTTCTTACTGATGCTGGTTTCTCCCCAGGTTTTAATCTGTGCCAATACAAAAGGCATGAAAATCAAGTCTGGATCCATGGGAAAAGCATTCCCACCTTATGACGTGCAGGTAGACAGCCTCTCCCAGCTGCTGGTGAAGGTTGCTTGGAAGAGGGGCAAGACAGCAGTGCCTGGCTAGCACAGGCGTGGCTGGTGGGCAGCCTGGCTGTGCAGATGCTCAGACACGCACCATCCTGTGATCTCCCCGCCAGATTGTGGATGATGAGGGCAACGTCCTGCCTCCTGGAGAAGAGGGGAATATTGCCATCCGTATCAGACCCACCCGGCCCTTCTGTCTCTTCAATGGCTATTTGGTAAGACGCAGGGAACAGACATTCTCACAGCAGTTACCACGTACCAAGCATTGTGCACACGCTTTATAAATAGCTGCTTGTTTAACCTTTGCAATAACTGCATGAGGCAGGTTGGTGCTATTATTGATAAGGAAAGCTATTATTGATAAGGAAGATATTGCAAAGGTGAAGTGATGCAGCCAATGTCATGCAACTATTCCATGCGGGACATGGGGTTTAAACGTGGGTGTATGTGAGAGCACAAGCAGGTGACATGAAGGCAGCCTCATCATTTTCATGATAAGAAAATTGAAGTCCGTGGACGGGAAGGGATTTACCAAAGGTCAGACTGCAATATTGTCTCAGAACCAAGTTTTCAGGATTCTTTTTGGGGTTTTCCAGCAAGGCTTATGTCCTGGGATTTCAGTTAAAGTTTCTGGGATAATCCAGTATTTACTGCTCCTCTATACCCACCTTGGCTGGTGTTTATGATGGACTTTCTTTTCTCTAAACTTTTCTCTATAAAACTCTCAACCCTGGCTGTGCATCAGAAACACTTGGGAAGCCTTGAATATGACTGATGGTCAAGCCCCACCTCAGCCTAATCAAATCAAAATTTCTGACCGTGTGGATCAGCTCCCCGGGTGACGCGAATGTGCACCCAAGACTGAGAATCACTGCTTTAGAGAAATTCCATCTCGTCCATAAACTAAGCTGTCAATCACCTACAGAATTGGAAGAAGCAGAAAAAAAAAATGCAGTCCATTTGTTTTTAGAATGTTGTATTTTAGTGCTTTTTTCTGCAACTACAAGAAAAATAATCCTTTCCTGTATTTCCTTTTAAATCACAGAAATGTACCTACCAAAAACTCCAACAACATAGTAATCACGCCAAGCCAACATAAATGTTAAAATTTCAGTGTCTTCCCTTCCAGTCATTTTTATAAGCAATAGTACATCTTTGACCTTCCTGAAAAATTTACTCATTCATTATTTATTGAGTGCCTGCTCCATGAGACT